AAAAAAAAAAAGTAGTACAATTTCATTTTTATACATTTGTACATGATTTTCATTTTTTTATTTTTTATTTTAACGCTCTCACCCCCTACAGTCAGAATGCTCAAGGCATTTCAGGCGCAGTGTCCAATGAGCAACATCTGCAGTAAATGCACATTAACACACACACTCACACGTTTATTCATTCACTCATTCATTCAGGAGTGGCAGCAGTGGCTTTAAACGAGAACTACAGGTGTATCTTGGCGCTCCACAGGTGACAAATACTGGTACCGAAGAGTTAATCCACTGTGGTGAACGAGGCCAAGAATGAGACGTTACATTCATGTCAAGGTTAACTGAACCACCATCATAATCACCATCATCCATCTCTCGCACTCATACACAAAGTGATTTAAAAAAAATGAAAAGAAAGAAAAACAGTCTTTAAAAATGTGCAAAGAAAAAGTCGCTGAGCCGAGCTGCACGAGCGCAAGGAACCGTTAAGGGGGAGTGGGAGGGCATCAGTGAAGAACCAATAGTGCATAATGGTAGTGCGTATCTATGACGACCAGTGTTGGCGATCTCCATCAGTACCAGACGGCTTGCCGTGAGCCACCTGAAGAGCCAAAGGAACGTACCACTGAGAAGATGCATAATGTGAGTGTAAAACTGAGTTTCCACAGAGCAAGAAAGGCGTAAAAGTGTCTTCAGAGGAAGTCGGGGCAACAGAGGTCAAAGAAACTGTTCCCTGTCTTTTTTTACAAAGGTGCAGTCAGAAAAATCAGACTCTGTAGTAATACCTAAACGAGACATTAGAAGTGCATAATTATTTTATTTTATTTTTTTTAAACTACTCTGATAAAAATCAATCTTCTGCAGGGGTTCAGGGTCGAGCCTAAGAAGCTGATCTGAGTCTTTGAAGCTTCAGCAAGAATTATTTATAATTATTTAGAGCTTTTCTTTAGCTACGGTGTTTAAAAGAGCCATCATACTGCATAAATGAGAAGGCCAAGTAAACAATGTGATTAGTTAACTTCACCAATCAGATTTAAAGAAATGCGAGTGGCCCCACACAGGCAGCTGTAAGCTAAACAGCTCAACTGCTGTTTGTGCTGTTGGAGCATTTTTAATGTGGTTATTTAATAAATAAAACAATCTGAGCTACAGCTCGTCTGAGAAGTTTACAGTTCATTCTAATTAGCATTCTGCAACAACAAGTCACGAACGCAGCTTGCTAACATGTTGCCACCCGTAATCGTGCTACACGATACCACGTCACAGAGACTATTTAACGTCCCAATTTATGAACAGCTATTAATATTGGGTTTAATCAAAACAAGTGGAAAACCATTTAACAGTTTTTGGATTTGCATATATAACAGAAAATATGAACTTCACAATCAAATATTTGGACAACGAAGCTTCAAAGGCCTCCAAGTGCTACAAACAATGTTTGGATCATTTAATTCATTAACAAGTGCCAGAAACACACAAGTGTGACTCTCTAAGCTAAAATCTAAGTTTATTTACCATCACAGACCCAATAATCTATCCACCACAAAAAGCTTGTCCTGGTAATGGCTCATTCAGCAGCAAAGACGATGAGGAGAGGTGCTGTAGATGTGTGTAGGAGAGCCAAAGGTGGGGATCTGAGCAGGAGTTTAATTTTAGAGAGTCACCATTACTTTCCTCTGCTGGTCAAATGTTGCTGATTGCACCAGAAACACTTCCTCCCCTGCTCTGCAGAAACCGGCTCTGATGATAATATAAGTTTTGCATATCGTCTCTTTGAACCTAGAAACATTTCAATCTTAGCAGCACAACAGTAACTCCCACCAGGACTCTGATTCACGTTATTGTTTAAACATTTAGAAGCTTTCTACATGGGCTGTTTGATAATCCACCTGCTGCAAACAGCCAAAATTTAAGGCATAATTTGAGCCCTAAATAACCATTTGATTGGCTGCTGGCAGAGCTGCTCAGAAACCTCACCATTACTAACCAAAAAGTGAATTAGAAGAAGAAGAAGAAGAAGAAGAAGTGATCAGCACAAGCTGAGGTGTCACCTGCTATCTGGCGTGTGCATAGTAAATGCTTCCAAATCAGATGAGCGTTTGTGTATAAAGTGACGAGTCCGCTTTGATGCATTTGATTCGGTGGTGACAGTGACTGCAGTACCAAGCAATAAACACGAGAATGAAGCTCTGCGAGTCTGTCTGAAAACGGTGATGAACATACCAACTCCAGCAGCGGAGCTCCAGTAGAGGCTGCGTGTACCCTTCAGTTAAATGATGAGCAGCTAAAAACATTTAGTTTGAAATGAAACGGACAACAGAGCAAGATCTTCAAGTTTCCCCCCACTGCTTCTCCGATCTGATGGCAGAGACTCACTGTGAACACATGAAAGCACCAAATTAGCAGCTTCTGTCTCATCCAAATACTCAGGCTGGCTTGATCTGAACATTTAAAAGGTGCAAATTTAGATGTTAGATGAGAGTTAAACTGCTCTCCATGGAAGTTCATGCTGAGGAGGAAGAGACCAGAAATGTAAAAACTTCTACGATCCATCCACAACACGAGGTTAGTCCTGAATATACTGCACAGTTTGAAACCCTTGCCATGAGATAGTTGGAAGCTTAAAACAAGCTGGAAAAGCCAGCTGCATTTTTGGGGGGCTTTAAGACAAAGCACTGCAGCACAGCACAAACATGGTTGAGTCATCATTAAACTAGTTCTTTCCCTCTCTCTGACACGGACGTGTTAACCAGAAAAGATTAACTGCTGGTGAAGCTACACGACCGCGGCTCCCTGCGAGGACCTGACCTGTCCATGGGATGGTGTAAGCTCTGTCAGCAAAACAAACCCTGTCCGGCCACCTTTCGCTTACCAACAGCTTCAGTTTCATTTATCGACTTGCTCTCCTTAAACTAGACATCCAAATCACCTTCCAGAATTAGCTATGGTGGTCTGAAGAGGATACGAGTGTGTTTTAGTTGACTTTTTAAATGTTTTAAATCAACAATTCTGCACGCTGCACCTTTCAAGTCTGGTCGTGAGAGTGCTCCCTATTGCTTTCTGTGGCTGAACAGACCGAGTTTCTAAAAGCCAATGTTTACCAGCAGTAAATTCATGAATCTGCCATGCTGAAGAGACATCCAATCAGATCAGAGAATCAGAGGAGGAAAGAGAGCACAGGTACCGATGTGGCGCTTCACTTCTACACCAGCATGACGACTTTTCTAAACAGAGGATATTTGGTTTCCAGCCGGCGGCGCTGGTACAGCAGGCGAACGAACAAACCGAAATGATCAGCACAGCGAGTCCCCGTCGCAGAAAGGCAGAAACGGCTGAACTGGGATCAGCTGGTGTGAAGGCAGTTTATCCAGGAGGCAAAAATCAAAACAAACAAACAAACAAAAAAAAAAAACTGAGAACAAAAAGCTGAGACTCATTCTCAAACATAAAAAGGCACAGAGACGGGGACGACGAATCAGAACGTTTCATCTGCACTTCGTTCAGAAAACGGAGCGGACTTCGGCGAGGGATGAGGGCAGGTGGGTGGAAAATTCTCGGGGGAGTGTTCTCTGGATCTGGGATTCAGGTTTGTCTATAGCAGCGCGCCCGTCACTCTGGGTTTTGGCAGGAGACTACATTCTGGGGTCGGGTCAGCGAGACATTGGAGGAGGATGAGAAGGAGGCAGGGTGGGGTTTACTCCAGAGTCAGGCATCAGCTCCTGTTAGGGCAACAACACCGACGCCATCCCGCTTCAAAACGCTCAGAGCGAGAAACCGTACAAACATTTAAAAAAAACAAAACAGTTTTTTTTTTTTAGAGAGGAGGAAGTGCTCAACCTCCTCCGCGTTGGAGACGTTAAGGTGCAACTTGCGGAGAAAAATAAAATAAGAATTTGTGTCCTTTATGGCAGTCTCATACAAACAGAGACAGGAGGAGCGCCCCCACCTTCTCCCAGCCAGTCTTTACTGGTCCAACATGGTCTCAGCGTAAAGGTGGAGGGGGCGGGATCAGATAAGGCCGTATTTGGCAGTTCGGCAGGCAGGCAGGGGTTCAAGATTCAAGGAGGGGGCGGGAGGGGTTAATGTACAAAGATGTGCCTGAGCAGCTCTTCTGCAGACGGCCGCTGCTTGGTCTCCACGAAGATCCGTTTGAGGAACTCCCGGCAGTGGTCCGACACGTGGGCGGGCAGGACGGGGTTAGTGGGCTGCGTGGCGATCTTAAAGATGGCCGCCATGGCCTCGAACTCTGCCCACGGAGGTCGCTGAGTCAGCATCTCCACAACGGTGCAGCCAACACTCCTGAAGACGACAAAACAAACATTAAGCCCATAAAAGAAAGGAAGGTCAATTTATTAGCTTTATTTGGTTTTCACTAGATCCAACATGGCCTCACAGCACAGGAAATGCTCTCAGCTACAGCTTCCACCTTTCTGTGGCACAATAACATTAAAAGGCAACCCAGTCTTTACTTTCCTACCCGTTTCATTCGACAGTTAAAGTCATGATTTTATAAAAAGCCATCCAACAACATCGTCTTTCATCTTTGAAGCCACGTGTGGCCAAAGCTTCCTGTTAGTGGCTACAACGAAGCGTCTTCAGAGGTTTGCGCTGGTTACATACGTGACCAACATGGTCTTGTTTGCAGATTCTCTAACAAACAGAACATTTCACACAGGATAGAAGGAGCTCTAGATAACCAACACTGAACTCCCTAAATTATTAAATCGTATTAAGAGGGGTAAGCATGTGTGAACTTCATCCTACTCCTTTAGGAGCATCTAAACTAATGGTATAGAGAGATATTCGTGACAACTTTTTCTCTTCACAATGCGTTCTGGTATTTTATTTAAATTTACCCATTGGACTGATTGATGGTTGATTTCAGTCTTAAAAAACAAAATAAAAGACACCACCATTGTTCATGTTTTATCATTTAAACTCAATGGAAAGACCCACTTCAGACTCATTGTGTGTTACCACCATAAAAACTACCAAAAGACCCTCAATGTCTTTTCTTTTTTGCCAGTCATATCTGTTAGACCTGTGGATGTTCAGTGTTATTTTGTAACATGAAGGAAAAAAAAAACTGAGGTGATTTGTTGAGGACATCCCCAACTTTTCTGTTAGGAAGTGCTGCTATTTTTGACAGTGTTAGCTACTATTAGCCTCTGTTAGCTGGTGTTAGTGATACTTTCAGGTCATACTTGAAGTGCATCTAACATTGCTGGAGTGAGTCTTTAGCAAACAAACTCTTGTACAAAGTGAGCATGTAATCAGAATGTTTGAGTCCAGCATTACTCAGCATAACTAATAGCTGTTGCTGTTTAGCTGGCTTGTGGCCAGTTGTCCCGAGATGGGAGGGTCACATGTCTAATCTGCTGACAATATTAAAGTGTCTCCTGATCCGAGCCCCGACTGCAGATCAGGAGATGAGGCTTAAGATGAAGCGGAGGACATTTTATTAAGATGTCATCTCTCATTATCCCTTTCCTTCACATTTTCCTTTCTTTGGTGACGGCGACCAACGAGTTCTCTTCTCCTCCACCTTTGGTGCACGGTGCATGTGGCTGTTCTCACAAACCAGTATCGTTCCCATGAACTTTTAAAGGTTTATTTTTAAGTTCATGAAAACCTTTTAATTTCTCTGAAGACGTAATTAAACACTGATGTACATATATGAGCAGAATATTCCTTTATATTAAATAACCTCACAAGGTTACATTTTTACAACCTTGGGTGTCCACATTGCCCGCCCAACCGGCCGCCCACGTACTTGGCGGGTAACGACAATACCTCAATCAAGAAGGCATACCAGAAGCAACTCAATAGAAAGAAGAAGAAGAAAAGAAAAAAAATCACAGATTTTCCTTAGTTAAATGAGGCTTTTGAGGTTAAATGCACACATAAGCAGGATTGGTCTAAAGACTCAAAGGAAAAGAGTTAGTGTTACCTGACTTTTCCTGATATTTCTGACCCTTTAACCCTCTGGAGTCCAGGGTATAATTGGCCGTTTTTGACTACTTTTGATTTTACCTCTATATTTCACCTTTTAAAAAAAAACTGTTTATCTTACCTTGTTTGGTATCATTATTTTCAGCACAACCTCAAATATCTGAAATTTGAGTTATTTTTTCATTTTGGTATACTATATTAGCACAGTTGATCTAAATCCAGACCAAAAAAAAAAAAAAATTCAAAATCCGAGTAGAAAAACGTTCCATTTTTTACTGTAAGACCCACAAACAATGAAATGCAAATAGAAATTGTACATTTCTAAAAATTATGCACAAGTTTTGCAAACAACAAAGTTATATGGTACTGTTTACCTAAAAATGCAGCCAAGGCCTCAGGCATTTTTTATATAACCATTTAAATCTATTTACAGAACAATCAGGTGTGCTGCATCAAATAAGAAGGTACACAAATTATTTGTGCCAGTCCAAAAAAAATAGTTTGTGTCCAATATAAGACAGAGGAGAACACCACAGGCCTAAACCCTGCAGGTCTGACAGCAGGAGGTGCATCAGTCCTGTTTTCCATGTGGGAACAGCGTTTACACTGGAATCTGAATTTGGTGGCTTTTTTGGAGCAACTGTGAAATTCAGCAGTATAACTGACACACAAAACAAAACAATGACTACAGTACACACTAACTACAGCCTCCAAACACGCTAAACGTCTCTAATGTCTCACATATGAAAACTCGCTCTCTCTTTCTTTCGCTTACCTGCTTTCTCTCGCCAGTGTTGCTCCTAAAACGTCCCCCTCTCCCTAAACAACCAAGTGCCACATCATTTTTTTGATTGGCTGACATGGTAAACTTTAACACCAATAGGAAAGGGGTGTTTTCTTTTTTCACTCGCAAGCGGAGAGTGTTTGCTAGCGCTGTCCATAGAAAGCGCCGTTTTTACCGTTCTTCCCGCTCTAGACACCGCGGTTTTAGTCAGAAAAATACATCGCGTGTATTTTCTAATCATAACTCTGGTTTTACGTGGCCCATCGACACAATTCAAAAACTGGTATGTAGTTTGAAGTCCTCACTTTCGACCCAAGTTGAAACTGAGACTCTGAGTCGCTGCATCTTGTAGCTGTGTTGTCTTAAATTGGTCATGTGATTTTGACGCGCCGGTGCGTCCGACGACCCCAGAGGGTTAATAAATAAAAGTGCGTTTTATATTTGGCCAAAACATCTTTGGTTGGTGTCCTGGTTTTTGGGACTAAAACCCCTAAACTGGAAGCAACACTAATGGATGTTTGTGTTGATGAAGGAAGCTGTTGGGATGTGGAAGTTCACTGCTGCGTCTGCTCAAGTCGGAGGTAAAGAAGCATCACTTTCTAAAGTCAGTTTGTAAAAATTCATCTACATTGGTACCACTTAAATTACTTTTTACATCACTTTCATGCTGCATCCTCTGAATAATGTAGTAAAGACTTTTGAGGTTGGTCTTACCAGATGTCTGCCTTCCTGCCGTAACCCTCTCCGCTGATCACCTCTGGGCTCATCCAGTACGGGGTACCGGTCACCGACTTCATGCCTGTTCCTGACAGACAGATGGTCTGCAGCCGCCTGCTGGCCCCGAAGTCTCCCAGCTTCACGTTACCCACAGAGTCTCTGAGGATGTTTGCACCTGAAAGACGATTGCACAGTTTCATGCTCTACTTTTCAAAGACGACGTTTGGTCCCAAGTATTTCCCCAGCAGGAGCGAAAACATCAGCTCACCTTTGATGTCCCTGTGGACGATCATGTTGCTATGCAGATAAGAAACCCCCTCCAGGATCTGCCTGGTGTAGCGGCGCGTCACATTTTCCGTGAGCGCCCCGTACGACTTCAGCTGGTCTTTAATGGATCCCTGAGGGTCACCAGAAAGGAAGGAATCATCAGAAATATCCCTGCTGTTCCTCACATTAAAATTTAGCGTCTCTTAAGAGAAACAGCTGTCATTTCCACTCGAACAAAGGGAACTTTGTTTGCAAGTGTTGATGGATTTCCACTCGAATAGAGCATGAGATTTTTAGCTTCACACACACATAACTGGAAACAGTGAACAGTTTGTGTGCACTCACTCCAGGCATGTACTCCATAAAGATGGAGAGCGTTCGCTCCATCGTGTCTCGCAGACAGCCATAATATTGGACGATCCGCTCATGGCACAAGTTCTTCAGGAGCTGGATTTCACATTCCAGTGCGCTCACCTCCTGCAGCAGAAACAGAAGGGCACATATTCAAGCAGAACATATTTAAACCGATTTCACCTCTACATACAACAAATTAGAGGCTCTAACAGCAGATACACGAGAGGACTGGAAAGATCTTTCTCAAGTGGGAGCGAAGTGTCTCTAGTTTGAATTTACTGAGTTGTATCCTTATTTACAGCCCTGTTTTTCAAATTAACATTGTATGATTTTCCTTTTTTTCCCCTCCCTGGCTTTTTTATAAATCAACAAGGCATTTTAAAAATAAAACTAGAAAAATTTGCATTTCCTGCGAAAATGCTGTGTGGATGCCTTAACGCTGAAGATGTATGCTGAAAAAAGCTGAAAAAGGTGAAAGAGAAAAAAACAAAAACAAAAAAAACATTGCCCTGAGCAGGATCGAACCTGGCCCTTCTGGTCTCAAGGCAGCTACTCATCTCACTGCGCCAAAGTAATTCTCACAGGTGGAGAGACTGACAATTTTGCTGAAATGAGCAGAAACAGCTGAGAATTGTGCTGATAAGAGGTGAAAAGGCTGAAAACTTTGCAGAAAAGAGGTGAATCAGCAGAATTTCTGCTGAAAAGAGTTTTTTCTGAAAAAGCTGGTATTTGTGCTGAAAAGGGGTGAAAAAGCTTAAATTTGTGTTGAAAAGAGTTAAAAAAAAGTTTAACTGTTGACTGAAAGAAATGTTGCCATAAGTGGGATTTGAACCCGGGCCTCCCAGTC